AGAGCGAATATAATCTTGTTTCTCCACAAGCATAAAGTAAGTCACAGGTTACATCTATAAAAGACAATGGTAAGGAAAAACGATGCGCGTTCCAGATGCAGCAGCCGTTTTATCGGTGCAGTAGATTTTTTCTTGAAGCAGGAAAGTTTTTGAGAATTTATGGTTTTGTAAAAGCGAAAAAGTAAAGACTAAATAGGGTTGAGTTATTTCAACTTTAAAAAAAAAAATAAACGAAAAAAAAAACAAATATAGAATCTGCTGTCTAAATATGCCTAAGAACTGACGGTTCGCTTCTTCAATAATCATCTGTGGTTATGCTTGTAGCTTATCATCCAGTAATCTCTATCTATTACTCAGAACGCATACTACTATTTCTGCTGTTCTTCATTCTTACTATTTTTATGAATCAAGGCCATTTTTCCCTTTTTTGCACAGTTCTTCTCTCTGTGTGCACTCTGTGCTAAGGGAAGTGTTACAGATTTGAAAAAACGCATGCGGAAAAAATTTATTGTAAAGTAGCATTTTACTTTGAAAAATTTTGTGCCAGAAATTTTTGATTTTGTTCAGCTAAAACCGCTTTATGACACAAAAGAAGAACATAGTAGAATAGTAACTACTCTAACCACTTTTACCAGGACCTTTTTCAAGCTTTGTTAATCGTTACGCTGTTGAATACCTACTTAGAAATTCGTGAGGACTGTTTCAATTTGAACGAGGTTAGGCTTCTGCTAACCTCTGCTTACAAGTCGGTAACCGGTCTTAGTGGAAGTGGCAAAATAGAAAAAAAAAGCATTTTATAATGAATATAGTTTATTCTGATAAATTTTAATCTATTACACTTTCTACAAAATCAAAAATTTTATACAGTTAGCAGAGAACTGTATCTTTTACCTTAAAATATAATTGATTCCTGTTTTTTTTCCACCATTAAAAATATAAATAGAATCTTCTTTCTTTCCTTTTTGTTAAAATCAGGTGTAAAATTTAAGAACTATGATGTTTAACTGATTGCTAACTGATCATTCTTTATACATACAGCACATAAAGAATATCAACGTTATAAACTGATTTGTTGATTTCAAAATTGTTTCGCAGATTTAAGACGTCACTCATCTGTATTTTTGTATACCAGTACCTTCTGTAGACTAGACAACAAATTTATGTGGCTTTTTGTTGAACCAACAAAAAAATTATACAGGAAATATAACCATCTATTACACAAAAATTTTTTTTTTTATTTTTATATGTTCAAACAGTTGCTGCGATTCAAATTCATTCCATCCATTGGCAAACCATTACTACGTTTTGGATTTGATCCATCTCTTTGTTAATGCCATTCTTCCTTTTTCACCATATCAAATGATCCAACGTTGTTCTACTACACTTCAACTTTTCACATAAAAACCTATCTAAAGTATTTTTAGAAAAGATTTTTTCTCTTTTCTTTTTTTCTTTGCCAGTAAGAATGCGGAAGATAAATGTGAATAGTGCGATTGTTCAGCAATTTTATACGTATTGTATTTATCATACTGTATCTATCAGTGTTGCTTCCTTTTATCAACTTTACCTTTAGCTTTTGTCGCATCAGAAAAGACTGTACAGAAAAAGAGTGAAGTTTAAAGACAATCTGATGCACCATTATTGTTTATATGCTTCTTCTACGGTTAAAGTCGCTCATCACTACCGAAAAAAATTTCTCAAACTCAGTTCAAACGAACATCACAATTTTTTCTCGAGCAAATCTGCCGCTGTTTTCCTCGCTGTGTCACTTCTCATGCATAAAATTTTCTTTCAAAAGTATGATACGATAATGCTTCCCCAGGAAATACAGTCAAATAAAACTGATCAGAACACTTTGCAGCAACTAAAACTGCTTTAAAATTTCACGAGTGCCAATTATTTTCAAAAACACAAATTGAATTCAACTTTGTAACAAATTTTTTCTTTTGCAATTTATTCTTACAGTGTAATATTCTAATCAACAATAAAATTTACGTTTTTAAAACAACCAATATTTAACCAATTTGGTAGCACTTAATAGATTACTGATCAAGAACGTGATTGAAATTTTTTGCAAGAACTACATCTGGAGACTTTCCTTTCCTCCCTACCAGTTAAGTGAAAGAAGATTTACTCTACATTATTCCACAGGTTATGATCACTGCCTTTTATAAAAATTTCAAAATTTCTTAATGGGTTTATGGTTACCCTTATTACTGTGCATCACTTCTGCTAAAACTGCTAACAGTTGCGGCAAATTTTATTAATAAGAACAGGTCTCTGTATACTTTTATAGTTTGGTCCGTCTACTGGAATATTAGCAATTAGTCTAATAAACGAATTTAATTTACGACTTTATGCGGTATCTTTTTATTATATTAAAAAGTAAATTTTCTTTTATCTTTGCAACATTTTCCAGCTTGAGGTCTTTTTTGATATACGCTTAAGCATTTAAGATGTTTTAGTATTGAATAGAAAAGGTTCTCTTTGCTCTAAATGACCGCTTTGACTAGCGCTCTAAATATCTAAGTCAAACTAACAAACCAGAATCTTTGCTTTATCAGTGAAATTCAATAAGACTGAACTTTAAACTGTCTTCTTATGACAAAGCTGTAACATTTGGAGTTTCCCACACTGGTTCAACAGCTTCAAATTTCCATAGATCTGGATGACCAAAATGCTTCACTTTTGTATTCTGAAAAAAAATTTTTATGAACTTTCAAAGATTCAGCGCGATAATTATGCTTTTCCTTATTACTTAAAAAAATATAATAAAGTTATATAAAAGTAGAAAAAGTAAGATAGAATTTTTCACATAGTCAAATTTACTCCACTGAAACGGAGGAACATCTCCGTAGGTTGGACAGCCAATGGCTTGAAATCGAAGATCTTTGAAAAGCGCGTAGTTTGTGCCCTAAAATAACAAAATAAACTCCAAAACAAGTGCTTCTATTTCACTTTTGACAAATTTTATAGAGATCTAACCTTATAGTCTAAAGCTCCATGGTTTACATGACCCATTCCAGGAAATGGATATTTACCATTTACTGGATTTAAATCACCCCGGGCAGATATTGCTGCTTCCGCCGTATACGGAGGCGTGCAATTACATCTACTAAACTCATCTCGGGTGTAATCATTGTACCTGTAAACAAAAAAAAGTGTTTTTTAATTATAAGCTCAAGATTTTGAGATCTGCTAAATCAAGTAAACATTAATTTTAACATTTGACTTCGGTTTATTGCTAAATTCCTCCAGTCTTTGAAAGTCTAGTTTGCCAAAAAGTAACGTTAAGCATAATCAATTAGCACCTCATTAAACGAGTCAAAGAATCTAAATCAACAACACTGTGATGATCTCTATTGAAAATTTTAGCTCTTGGGCATTTACCCCATCGGTACCAATCTCCGCCAAGTTTAGCTGCCTAAATTGGAAAACTGTAAAAGACTGCTTCTTCGAGAGTGGACGCAAAAAAGCAAAACACACGTTTCCTCTAAAAATTAAAAAAGTTAAGATAAAGAACATACAAATTTATCGACTTCACTAATTCTGGTGATTTTTTTGAATATCGGGATATTATAACTTGGGAAATAGCTGTACTTCCTCAAAAACCAAGTCATATCTCTGTGCACAATGTGGCCACTGAAAAACTTTATTTAAAACTATGCAATGCACCTAAAATAACCATAAAGTATACGATCTCTTGTAAGTCGTAATTGTACGTATTCAATTAACAGAACAGCTGTTAATTGCTTTATTAAACAGTACGATCATACGAAAAAAAATTTTTGATTTCTTTTTACAACCGTGCTCTCAAAAAATACAAACTGCTTTTCACTTTTCAGCTTTCTCATTTTTCATTTTCCACTAAGATATATATGACAGTTTTCCTGTGTTCCCTCTATATTCCTTGCAGTGTTTTTCCCTCTAATAAGCAAGAAAATATAATATGTTTACATTAAAAAGTGTGGGGAAACGCGGCATCAGCATATTTACTGTCACAATGTAAACCTTTCAAATTCCTGCTTCATATTTCTTACAAATTAATTGACCGATTAATCTTAATTACAGACTTTAAAAAAGAGAAAATCTGAAAAAGCACATATTTTCCGACACTTTCTCACTCATTGTCGCTTGCAGGGTAATGATGACTCATCCTTACTTTGCCTGAGAAGCATCAGTTTTGACCAATTGCTTATTACTTTTGATAATTTTTTCAAAATTTATCAGATAAACTTTTGCGCTCTTGCTAAAGATAGCAGAATGTATACCTATCCAAATCAATAAATAATAGGCTAGTTTTACACTAAAGCCAAACATAGCAGGAAAAAGAATGGTTCTGTAAAAAAAGTGTATAACCCACAAAAGTAAACGCTACTATACAAAAGATAAACTCCACCAAACTTCCTAATTAGCGTCAACTCCCTGCGCTCTTTATGGAATAAACTTTACCAACCTGACCTTCACTAACAGGCAGTTAAAGTGAAGGAACACTACGTAATGTCTTAAAAGTAGTCAGAAACACCAAAAGTAGTGAAAATGTCAAAGCCTTACCCAAATTCCCATCTAATAAACCAAATTTGATAATCGCAATCTTAAATCGCTATAATTTTACAGCAATAAAATTCGACAAAAAACCTGGTTCTTAAAAACTTAAAAAAGTCTTATTTTTTTTGTGGTTTTTGCTACCAAATTCATAACAGCTGACATTTTATATAAGTAAATTAAAAAGATGTAAGTTATAAAAATTCGTTAACAATAAAGAAGTTTTAAAACCTTTAAATTTTTCAAGCACGTTTAATAAAAAAAACTATGAGTTTCCATAGCTCCAATAGCATAAAACCTGCCAGAGAACAAACTTTCTCTGAAAATGTGACATGAAATACCTGCTAAGTCCAACTAAATATTTAGAATTTTACTTTATGCATCTTAAGTCTAACTTTTTAGATCGTGTTTTATCTCAATCATTAAAATCTTACGGTAGCTGCTCGAGAACATAGAGCAACCCAAAGAAAGGTAGTTCCGCCTTTGGGCGAAACCGTTTGTAATCGACAATAACCCACTGGTTATTGTAGGTGCCAGAATTGTATCGTGAAAATATCTTACACCATCCAACTCCATCCATAGCCAATTCATTTGCCACTTTCGCTCGTATCCACATCGGGATCTGGAATAAAAAAGAACTTAAAAAATACTTTCTTTTAAAAAAAATTTTTTACAAAATAATAGTGACCTGACCAACTGGCTTGATGTGATCAAACAATGTTTTATTAAAAACAGTGATGGTAGTCTCTAAAGCGGCCTAAAAATGAAAACATCATGCGAACCAAATCCGTTTTATTTCAGGAAAACAGTAACTTTCGCTTTCATGAGGAATTATCTCATAGATTTCGTTACCATTGAAAAGTAAGTAAAAATTTCATTAAAAATCCTTTGCCTCATTTGGGCCTGCCAAAGTTGTTTGGATCACTAATAAACTTAATGAAAAAGCACTTTTTCAAGAACAAAACGATAGAAACCAAGTTGCACAACCTACCAGACCAGAACTCATAAGGACAAAGTCGTCAGAAGAATAAAGCATTCCTGGATAGCTTGAAAAAGCTGATGTATGTCCTGGCACAGTATTTTCATCTACAGTTCGTAAATTCTAGGTCATTAAATGACGAAAAGAAGCTTTAAGCAAAGAATTTCAGATCAACCAACCAAAACCAAATTTGTAGAGTTTTAATACCCTCATCATAAATTGAAATCCAGACATTGTCACTTGTGAAAAGAGTAAATCAGCATTCTCAGGAGCTACCTAAACAATGAATCAAACGCACATTATAGCATAATAACAAAGGCCCTGTTTAATAAGGTCAGTAAGTAGAAAGAGAAGTTCTGTCAAACAAAAAAGTCTAGCGATAAACTGAAAAGTTAAGGAAGAACAAATTATTACTAAATTTTACAAATTTGTTAAAACGACGTAGTTAATTAGCTGGTCTTCTAAAACTGGCACAGTATATATATCCCTCCACTTCAAAACTACCTCGAAAATCACTAACTTTTACAAAACCGGAGCATTTTCCATCCACATTTTGAGGATCCCTAGTTTTGTTCAGTTTCTTTTCAAGATCGTAGAATTCGCCATTAGAGTTAATCATTCTGAAGTTCCAAGATTGAAACGCTTGGTTAATAATTATGAATAAGCCTAAAGTTGAACCATGAATTAGCAGCGACATACAGGATTGGATGCATTGCGTAAGAAACTGTTGGCGACAGCGGCGCTCCATCATAACCATGATATAGTCCAGTTAGTTGATACATTGTCCTATTTACCTATGCAGCACAAGAATAAATCAGCATAGACTTAACGTTTTAATAAACACAGAAACAATGTTCAACCGAAAAAAAATTTTACCAAATCCGGTTCATTTTCTTTCGAGCAGTAACTTTTTCAAAGAAGTAAATAAGTAATTTCTTGTTCTAAGCACTTGAGGAAAAGAAGTTGGGAAAGAAAAGTATAGCCAACTTGAGCCCAGTACAGATCGTTGGAACCTTTTTCTGATAATTCCTCTCTAATCCATTGCATATTTTGCCTCATAAAACTATATAACCTTTTACAATAAGCAGTATAATTTTTGCAAGCATCGTCTACCGTATTCTGAATGTGGTACTTAATAACCACGCTAGATAAGTTACCTGCAAAAAAAAATATCAGCTAAAAAAATATAAAAATAGTTCATTTGACTGATTAATATGAGTGACTGTCAATTATTGTCTTATCAGCACGAAGAAGCTACCACTGGCAAATTGCGCACAAGTTCTAATTACAGAAAAAATCTCATTATTAATGAAAACATTTAGTCATTGAAAGCAACCTTCTAGAACGCCAGCTGCGTATGCTTGTTCTTCTGGAAGAAATCCAGGCATGGTTTCAATTTCTAGAAAACTCCATCTGAAAGTTAATTTTTTTTCTTATACAGAAACAACAAGTAGATGAAGCAGATCCATCACCAACCCGGTTAAATTGACAGCATTTCTGAATCTCCCTGTCGCAACTTGACGTTGACAGTCCAAACCTTCCAAAATCACCATTTGGCCGCTTTTGTCCTTGCAGACGCTACGATAGGTATATCGCGTTTCAGCCCCAGGACCCTGAAATATTACTGCTGACCATAGAAATTACCATAAACCACAGAAACTTTAGAAGTTAGGGAAATAAGGACGGGTTAGTGCCGCCTGTTTTAAAACCTTTGTCTAGCATTTAAAAGACAACTGATAAGAAATGACATTCCTTGAGTGGACAATTAGGTTTCATTTTTTAAGGTTCTAGTTAACAGGTAAACAGTAAAAAAAATGTAACTTTAAAATGACAAACCTGATTTAATTTTTCATCCAAAAAACCTCTGTTGTTACATCGTCCTAAAAAGTACGTTAAGTGAATTTTCTGACTATTTAGTACACTGCGTAAAACAGTGACAACAAGCTTAGAAAAGAAAAAATTGAAGCATATTACAAGCGTTGCAGGTACGTTTTCACTGCACAGAATTAGTGCCAATATTTATTCTATGTTCTAGCATGTTTCAGTAACAGTTTGAAGAACAATATTTGACCAATAATCTTACCATATTTAAAATTTATAAATAGAAGAATTAGAAGTCTATTTAAATTCATAGTGGTGTAAAGTAACAATATTCAATAATAATACAACATTCATAATCATTATGAAGTAACAAATTGCCGTCTTCTAGAATGGCGAAATCGCTGACGTTGCAAAAAGCATAAATAAACAAACGATAGAAAGAAGGAATAAAATTATTTAACCGACCAAGACTACTCTATTTTCAAAATTTACCGATAACAATCGTCCCTACTGCTATTGCTAGAAATATTCAACGATGAACTTTCAAATTACAATCCACAGTCAGTTTTAACGTAAAAATTTTCTGTCTTTCTGGAAGACTCTTAGAACCCCATCAATCTGCCCCCCAGCCACTTCTTTCCAAAAAAAGCCCGTTAATTTAACAAAAACAAAGACTCTTTCATTTAAACCCAAAAGTACACTGAAAGGAACTGTTACCTAACTGGAAAATCGTTTACAAAATAGCTCACAAGATGCTCTTCTAAGCCATTTCCACATCCATCACATTTGCGCCTCACTGAGTTCCAAAGGTTTCCCTACCAATCTCATTAATAGATACAAGAAGTTGAACATAAGTAAAATAATTCAGCAAATTAAATTAGCTAAGGTCCAAAAATCCAAAATTTTTGAAAATTTCTTAATTTAGAATTGTAATGACGATTGGAAATGCACGATGTACAAAAAAAGTTTAAATAGTTAATAAGTAGTTAATAAAGAAATGTAATTATGTTTAACAGATCTAAAGTAACAATTTGAGCTAAGTGATATTTGACTTAAAGATAGTAGAAAAGTGAGAAATAGTTTAATGATATGAGATGCGAGAGTTTAAGGCCTTTTCAGGACGATATCTCCTCAATTTCTTAACTGTCACACAAAAAATATAAACCTTAGTCAAAAAATTTGTTGTGCTAAACAGCTGTCCACAGTTACGTTTTTTGCTGCTGCAGAAGCTTATTGAAAATTTCTGTAAATAAACTACAAGCGATGCAAACAATAGATGTTTCAAAGTGATTCTGTTTAACGCTCGGACAAGTAAATAATTGAGAGAGAGGAATGTTTGGTTACTGTTAATCAGTGATGGTTAGAAAAAGCAGCAAAGATTTATAGGCTAATCGGTGGTTTTCAAAGTTTTAATGTGATGCTTTCAATAGACGTTTCTACATCGCCTATCCCGCAAAGTTGAGACAGTTCGTACAACAGTAGAGTTGAAACTCGAGAAGTTTTAGTGTCTTTCCATCCTTATTTGTCACAAAAAAGTTCCATTTCTTTTAATTCCGTTTTTCACTGCAAACTAGCAAACACGTAACATATGACTTTTCATTTATTAACAGTTTATTTGAAAAACAGAGCCATAATAGTGTTGAAAAAAGTATTGAGCAATCTCCTCTATCGAAAATTCAGTAAAAAATCCTAGTTACAAACGATTATAAAATGTCCTCTAGAACATATTGTAGGTTTAACAAATAATTACTGGTAATTGTAAGTTGAAAATTCAGCGTTATATTGGCAAAATTATGTTAAATACCTGCTTAAAACTAAGTCAACTGATAAGCGACTCACTAGAACCTCATTCAAATTCCTAACAAGCAATAAATATTATTGGAACAATTGGACGAACGGTGAGAAAGTGAAAAACTCTAAATTGTGCAGCGGTATTAATCTAAAATTGGCTGTCATCGCTGCAGTGGTTTCAAGATGAACGTAAAATTTTAGCAATGATAAAAGCCACATAAAGCAGATCATTTGCTCATCACAAACAAAAGTTGCATATGTGAGAAAATTCATGAACCAGATAGATTTTTAAACAGTGTTAAAGCAACCATTTCCACTTCTATCACTTGACTGTTAATATCTTTTCGTTTCTGGCTGATATTTCTTCTTTTTTGAAGCTTGGAAAGATATGCAATATACTGAATTTAAAAAATTAGTTAATAAGCTATACAGCACCTAACATTCAACATATATCTGTATAAAACATCACCTGTTTTTGCCTGTCGTATTTATTACGGCTCAAAAACTTGTTTGCTCTTGAGTTTTGCATCCAATTCATTTCCCAATAAACCTATAGACAGTATGATAAACTATCAAGAAAAATAAAATGTGCCCTTAACAGCATAATTTATCAAGTATTAAAACCACTTACAGCAAATAATAATGTTACAAAAATCTAATCGCAAAAAAAATTTTGACAGAAAAATTTAATTTTTAAAAGCGTTACTGTCCTTAAAATAGTAAATGCATTTTAGATCCGACCCAGCACGAAAAATTCCCAGTTCTGGATATCTTCAGATATGAAATACAAAAAAAATTGCTAATAATTATTGAAGAGGGAATTATTTTAAAAAATAAGCAACTAACTTACATTTCAAAAAGGGCACCTTTTTTTGAGTTGCTTGAAAGCGAACAGCAATGCTGGTGTAGTTGAAACTTTTGATTCTGAAAATACTACCGTTTAAATATTATTTATCACTTCTTTAGCCATTTCAATAAATTATCTCAACCTTCTTCTAAAACCGCGACTAAAATTGTCCTTACAGTATAACCGGAATGGCGTTATTATTCATTGGTAAACACTGCAGTTTGAGCAACAAAGATGTATGTAGAAATGAACTTTTTAACTTCTAATTCCAGCAGATCGATAAATTATGAGGACAGATTGAATAGCCAGTAATTCTTCAACAAAAATTACTGCCTAAAACAACCTAAAAAATAAATGTTGCCTTTTGTTTCTTAAAATTTTCAAGATTGCAAATGAAGTTAATTTGTAGTAACAAATAATGTTTT